ACAGGCGTTTATGGTCTAGTGATCCTGCTTAACCATTTGTGTGTCTGCAACAGATACACACACAAAAAATAAGCCATAGGTAGAACTGGCGTTTCGCTCGATATGATTGAATATGAGGTCTCTGTGCTGCATAACAAAATCAGCAACCATGGTGCCAAAAAGAATACAGCATGACGCGCGCTTTGCAAGCTAGAGAACGCGCTCAAAATAAAACACTTTCTAAAGCCGCAGTTAATAAATACACCATAAACAGAAGCACTTCGACATACCTTAATCGAGTTCCCTTGACTTGTAACTTCAGAACAGATCAAGTGCAGTGCTTCAGTACCGCGAATCCAAACCGGATCCCGCCTTGATCGGAGACGACACAAGGCGACCAGCCTCCGACGAAGACTATATTTCGACTTTCAACTTAATAAAAACAGGTTCTTTTCAAACAAAGACACTTCCCATTTTCCCGACGGACCCCATCTGCCCCCCCCCCCCCCCCCCCCCCCCCCCGTGTACAAGGAGCAAAGAATGCGGGGTAGGGGATTCGGGAGAGGGGGCAGTGCGCGCAGAAGATAGTCTCTTTTCCCGCTCCCACTACTCACCTCACAAGGACACCGAAGAGCTCCAAGGACGGGAGAAGGTCGCCACTTTCAACACGCCGGTCGAGTGACCTCAAGCAAGCACTTTTTTTTTCTTTCTTTTCTCTCTCTCTCTCTCTCTCTCTCTCTCTTCAGAATTTTCAGCTTTCTCGAGTGGCTTTTTTTTTTAGTTTGCATTTGTTTTGTATTAGTAGGGTGCTGCCAGGTGTGACGTTCCGGGCGTGATTCGTTCTTCGTTGTTCATCTGGATTGTTTTGGAAACAGCGACGACGATGGCATGAAGGCGTCTGGATACTGCCCCTGAATGTGCTCTTTAAGTGGAACGTGCCGTGCATCAAGCGTGTAGTTGTGGATTTTGAGTTCGACATTGGACTACCCAGAAAGGTTTGTCAGGCAGAGACGGAGGCGCTTTCCCACCGGCGATGCGATGTAGTCGCGCGATAACTTTCATTTCAAAAGCGACCATCGCGGGCAAAAAGCGACGCGATTTGAGCAGTCGCTTCTAGACCCGACTTTTTTGCGATGCGATCTAGTCACGGAGCGGCTGAGCCAATCAACGGCGTTCGGAGCGAGAGTTTTCGAGAAACGACTCGCCAACGAAGGCGTTGGACTCGCTCATCGCACACGCCGGTGTGACCATCTAATTTTTTTTTGCGATGCGATCCAGTCGCATCGCACTACTGCTTATATCGCCGGTGGGAATGCTGAGTTTTAGCGATTGAAGTGACCATTTATTCTGACTGTGAGATTCCGGTGTTAAAAGCGTGGCTTCTACAAACTGTTAAGTTTAATTTAAAAAAAAAGAGTGTTAGTATTTGGAGGTGTTGCGTTTGGATAAATGCACATTTTGTGCGCGACGGCAATTTACGTAAGTGGGACTTGTGGAATGTCAACAGATTCTTTTTGACGAGATAGTTGGGTGAAGTTGAGTCAACACATTCGTTCACTCGCATTCACACAACGCGTGAAGCTCTACCATGTAATGTCTTAACGTTCGTGGCACATTAAACAAATTCGCCAGTTTCGTCCGAGTTTTGTCAACACTTTCAGCGGTGCTGGGCTGAGTCTCGCCGATCCCCAGCACAAGCGAAATAGCATCCGTCCTCCTGGCGAACATTCCGTTTGCCTTCGGGGACTAAATCATACAGATGCACCCTGTCTGAGGGGGACTAATGGATGCTTTTGCTCGCGCACGCCTATTGGTTGGTCCCAGTCGACGCAGTTAGTCCCCAGCTTTTGCGCACGGTACCTAGCTTGAGCCAGATGGTCCTTTCGGGGATCAACTGGGAGTTCAGAGGACCAAATGCTGCCGTTAGTCCCTTGAGGCCAACTTTTTTTTTAGAGTGTAGAATCGGGCAGTGCACATTCCGACGGGTGTAATAAGGTGACCTCCTGCGATTAGACTTTATGGTCCACTTCAGGGAGTCAAAATTTTCCGCAGACAGCGAGAAAGCCTCCCTGTCATTACTGAATAGTCTGCTAAGGTGTCCACGATTGACAATGCGTCGTGGCCATCAATAATAACGTATAGGTTGCTGGGTAGCGTCGCAGAAGCGTCGTTGCGATGCCCGGCGCCGCGAGAGTGGGAGCGCTCCGGCGTTCTTGGAGGCTTTTTACTTCGGTCGTTTTCGACAATGCCACATCCAGGAGTGGCCGCATTTAGTTTTTCCGGCGAGAAACGAGGGATCGGCTATCTAGACGGGACGGATTGACGGGTTGGCGCTGGGACGGCGAGAGGCCTCCTCGGGAATGAGCTTGCCCAGGTGAGGGTGACCGGCGAAGGAACTCCTCAATATCCCTCGGTCGCTCACGGTACGTTGGGACGGAGCATTTGCCGCGAACCCTTGAAGTCTGCTTTCACTCTAAGAACCCAATATACATGGCCAGCTTCACCGCAGTTTAAGCACGAAGGCGTCGGTCAGAAGTTCGCAAGACAGTGTTCTTCCTTGGCACAACTGGTTTATGTCGCATGTGCGCTCGATCTTCTTGTCGTCAAGGATACTGCGGGGATGGGGCGTCTCTTCGAAGTGGCTCCTGCTATAGAGGGGCAGCAGACGGTGAACGCCGGGCAACGGTGGTGTATGTCACCGTTGGCTCTTCTTGTTGGGCCACGACGACGAAAGCATCTGTTTAGATGGCTCGCTGAACGTCCTCTCTTGTTACTTCTGCGGTGGAAAGCAAAGCAGGACGTGTGGCATCAGGCAGCAGCCTCTTCAGCTCTCCCTGGACAACCTCACCGATAATATTGCTGACACCGGGGATGCTAGGTTTGATGTCGCCAAAACAAAAAAGAAAAAGTCTAGCGTCGCAGGCGTTGATTTCGGCGTAACAGCAGGACTGAGCGCTGAGGCGATACTGACTCCAGCTCGCCATGGAGCCCTATGTACACGCGTGGGCTTCCGCGACAATCGGCATAGAATGTTTGATGCCTAGAACATTCAAACCTCGAGCAATCAATATGGTTCCAGAATTTAGCAGAACGCAACATTTACAGAAAAAAAAAGCGTCCGTACCCAGGAATCGAGCCTCGGTCCTTTGCTTAAGAGCCAAGCCTGATAACTATTCGGCCATGGCGGCGTTTTCTTGGCGACTCCCTGCAATGTATTACTGCATTCTTTTTTCTGTTACCTGCAAACGCCGCTAACATTTCTTTCTTGAATAACTTTTAAACTGGTGAGGCAGTGACGCAACCTTCTAAAATCAACAATAAATAAAATTTAAAAATGGGATTGTCGGTTTTCTGTTCAAAAGCTGTGAGACCTCTTCTGTGGCCCTTGTACAGCGAAGATGTTTATGGCTAGGGCCCCGTGGATTTTTCGTGTGTGGGAACAAAAATGTCGTCACGACTTGGTGACGTCACTTTTGTTCTTGTAGGATATGCCAGCTGAACGAAAGAAGAAATAGCAAGACAGAAAGAGTCACAAAAAAAAAAACACACGCACTCCGCTGGACTAACAACCATTTACTGAATAACATCTTTTTCTTCGTCTACTTTCACTTAATAGAAAACTTCTTTTAGTTCGTCGATTTTAATTATTGCCTAGATGAAATATTTGCCCCTCGTATTCACCACAACAGTTAGAAAAACCTTGCATCCATTAAAATCGACCAAAGAAAATAAGTTTTCCATTAAATGAAAGTCGACGAAGAAAAATATGTTATTCAGTAAATGGTTGTTAGTCCAGCGGAGTGCACGTGTATGTTCCTTGTGTCTCTCTCTGTCTTGTATATTCTTCCTTCGTTCAGCTGGCATATCCTACAAGTATGAATAACCAACCTGCTCAGCTTCAGGCAATCCCTTTTGTTGCCGGACACGACTTCATGACGTCAAGTGACGTCATGACTTCGTGTCACGTGATGTCAATTTCCCCCTAAATTTAGCGGATAAATTTTTCCGCTATATTTGGCGGGGAAATTAACGTCACGTAACCTCAACAATTCAGTTTCCCCGCTAGAGTTAGGAGAACAAATTTCGTCACGACTTCCTGTCACGTGACGTCGATTTCCCGCTAATTTAGCGGGAAAATGAAATGACGTCGTTTGACCTCAACACCAATTTATTTTCCCCGGTAAATTTAGCGGGAAAAATGTCATCACGGCTTCGTGTCACGTCACCCATGAACAAACTCAGGGAGGAGGAGGAAAGAACGAGAAAGAAAAACGCACCGCCCTCTCTTTGTCGTCGTTCCAAGTGCTTGCGTGCCTACTTATCTTTCCTCCCGCCGGGTGTCGATCCCATCACGCGTGTCTATTTTCATCCGGCTCCTCGGGGCGGCGATAATCCTCGACATCTGTGTGCTAACCGTTCGTCACGATGATCATCGAGCAAGACGATAAATGTGTTCGTGTCCTTGTTGAAACTTTTATGTCACACCAGTGTCATGTGCTAAACAGCTTCGCATCTCATACATTTTCCCAGAGTGGAATGGCTCGTAATTGTTTTTAAATATCTAAACCAGTCCTCTCGGTAATGCCTTCGGACCCTGCGAGTAAAGAAATTAAAAAAAAATTAAATCACAATACCTCAAGGTATTATCCCGTATTACTTTTAAAATACAAAAGACAGACTGAGATGCATAGCAAAACTTTTGACGACCCATAGCCTTGTTCTTGTTTGTTTTTAAATACAAAAAGAAAAAATGCATCTTTGAGCGTGGCGGGAAACCTAGCCTGAGTTCTTGTTCACCCGCTAAACCGGTGTCGTCAAATGAAAAATGATTATTGGCCTAGAAGCTAGTGTTGAAAATGTATCTTTGTAATGCGGAGAGCATGATAGGAAATTGATTAACCTTGCTTGGTTTTTTAAAAGGGATGTTTTTGGAATGGTTCGTTATGGTTACTTGCTATATTGAGTCTGGGATTTCTTCGCTGTGATGTATACAATGCTCTGCATCTCTGTATTTCCGGCAGCCGCGTCCTATGCCTACGGGGTGTGTTCGAAGCGGCGGGTGGCACTTGGCTCTGATGACGGCAAGACATTTTCGGGTGTTCCCGCTGCAGTTCAACAAATCGCTAACTTGTGAGTAGAAAGCGTATTTATGAATTGACTTTCTTATAGTGTTCTGAAGATGTCAGCCAATTCAAATACAATTGTATTGATGTGTGAGTGCTTTAAATATAACATAATATTATTTTATCATTATTATTTTAAATATGTAATCGCCTGTCGCACCACGTCAATAAAATAAAACCTTTCTCTACAATACATGTTCGCGTCAAGAGTAAAATAAATATTAAGGTAATAGAAAATACAAAGTTTGACGGTTTTTACTTCAGTTTACGGGACGTAAAACTCATATAAATACTATTAAGATAACTACGTGTTCTTGACTTTTAGTTTGCCCTAGATGTTTTCATAAAAGATTAGTTGATATTAAAATTAGAAATAAAATACGTAACACTTGAATTACGACGCCTGAATGACCTACTCAACGTTAAGAATCATTCACTCTATGTGAAAATTTAGAATGAAGAATTGAACCGACAAGCTCGAAATTTATTTCTTATTTGAAGTAGAACTATCTTTATTATATTGCCGTGAGTGCAGGTGACCAAGAAGGTGGTTCGCCCGTGGCCTAACGGTTATCACGCTTGCCTTCTACGCGGAAGGGCAGCGTTCGATTCCTGGTCGCGAAATGTCTTTTATGTATTGTTGCAATTTACTGTTCTCGAAAAATTGAGAACTCTGTTGAATGTTCGAGGTCAGAATGTTTTATGCGCGAACCTTCCACGGTCGATTTTTCGAGAAGCCCACGCGTGCACAAAAAGGGCTCCGCGTGGAAAGCCGCAGTCAGTCTCGCCCCAGCGTTCGACTCTGCTGTTACGCTGACTTCGACGCCCGCGACGCCCTGTTATTATAGTTTGTACCCTTTAATTTTCGGGCGCAAGGTCGCCCCATTAAACGTTTAATTTCTTCAGTTATCACCGCATCATCCATTGTCATTCGTGACAATATTGAGAAGCATGTCAAAACTACTACTCTCTACAATCACCAGACTGAACTGACATTATTACCATAGACGGTTTATATCGTACATATTTTAGCACTACTATTATCCGTGTTCACGTTGAGATATAATACATTTGGTTCACAAGTTTCAACAATAAACTCCCCGCAAAACTCGCTCATAACTTAAACGCGACGGGTACCACTTTCTAAACTCTGCAAGGATCACTAGCACTATTTTACAATATAAATAAATTACAATATATGATACGATTTTCTGAAGTCGGCATGATAGCAAGTATATATCTGTGGTTTATTTACAGGCTGGGATTTAAGTGGGACGATAAAAGGGACAGAGAGGGATGTACCCCTGACGATGGTCATGTGATGAGCAGAAACGGTGAACGCACCCAATATCCAACCTTCTCAAAATGCACCAAAACTTCGTGGGAATTCCGGACTCAAACACGCATGGGGTAATACTCTCATTTTGATTTGAACTTTTTCAGACTTATTAACCAGCTTCTATTTCAACCGTTTCACAAAAAAAATGTTAATCTACAATTGTTTCTATAGCATCATCACTGTGCATAAATTAGCGATTCAAATAGCAGATTTATGAAGGTTTTAAAGTTGAAGCTTGGGCAATTTGGTATATATTTGAGAATTTAAACAGCACAAAGGACCAGAGACCGGATGAGAAAAACACAGAGAGTGCGCTAACTCACAACTGAAGCACCATATTGCGCTGTTACGATTATAAAAATGTAGTTGTGACTCAGCGCTCAGTCTTTGTCTTTCTTCATACAAGGTTGTATTCTTCGCCGCTAAGACGCATAAGCCAAACGTCCCTCTCCGCACAATAGTTTCTGAGATAGGATGGTGGCAGAAGCCCCTCGCCACGTTTCTCCAGAAACGCCTTTCCGGCCTACATCCCTTACAGCCTTTTCGAATCAAAAACTCTCAAGAGCTTAGCAACGCCCTAGAACCGTTTAATACCGGTGTACTACAACCTGGACATTTTAATTATTCTCGAATCCGTCGACGAAGCAGTCATCGAACACGGAATCTGTAGCTTCCAAAACTCATCCGGAGTGTCACTTTCCAACTTTCTCGAGCTTCTGCAACTCTACCTAAAATCAACAATAATCGAGCACGACGGAAAAATCTGGATACAACAATCTGGGCTGTGAATTTTGTCTTGCCTCGCACCCATATTAAGGGAATCTACCTGTATTATGTCGATAGAACCATACAGGTAAAGCTCAAGAACACTAGCCCGGAATGTACCGTAGTCCGCTACGTTGATTACTAATTGATTATTCACCCTCCAGCCAATAAAGTCGAGGTAATCGTGGCCTGGTTCGAAGGTGCAGGAGGCAAACTAAAATTAAAAAAACAGGAAAATCTACCCTCGGAAGCACTACAATTTCTAGACCTGCAATTGAAAACAACCAACGAAGGCGTTTGCTAGGCGTTCAGGCAGCCTTCAGAAAAGCCAGTGCTTCCTTTTGAAAGTGCTCATTCAAAGTCTGTTCAAATAGGTGTCATCAAGACGTTAATCACATCAGCTAAGACGAAATCCTGCCAACACTCGGCAACAGTTAGTCTGATTAGCCAAACTCGACGACTCCTGAGTTGCGGATATCCGGTGGAACGTCGTGTGTCCGTTTTTCACCAACTTATTACCCCAAAAGAAACTACCAAAACGTCTTTCAGTCGAAGGATAGCCAGCATACCATACATTCATAATGCTTCCCATCATATGCGATACCTTGCTTCACGCTATGTCATGAAGGTTGTAATTCAAGTAGATTCAAATTGGCAAGCATGCGCAACATGATCAACCGAAAAAAAGCCAAGCCGGCTTGCGAAAAAAAGCACACCACGCTTTTCCGGGCCTGCTGCACAGAAAACGTTTGCTCCATCCCCCTCAAATGCGGAGCTGAGTAGATAGGAAAACCCGGCCGATGTATAAATGACCGCTTACGAGAGAACCAAAACGAAGCCACTTCAAGAACTGACAACCCCATTCATCCGATCGCGGTTCACGCGAACGAATTCATTCGATGCGAGCCTGACTTTGCAGGAACCAAGGCAAAAGGGGGACATCGCAACCGCTACGGACGTGAAATCATCGAATGCTTTCTTGTCCAGATTGCAGGAAACAACGTTTCATCGGCCTCACTAACCTTATCAAGACGGGAAATGAAATTCATTAGGCCTGAACTTGAAAAATATCGCAACTCCCCGTAAATACACAACATCACAGTAGTTCTGGCCGTGCCTCGTGGTTCTTCCTCTCCCTTTCCATCTCCCAAGTTTCCTTTTCCTCCCCCCCTGTTCACCCTTTCCATCTCCCAGTTTACCTTCCCCCTTCTCACCCTAGCTTAGTTGGGGTCTCGTTTAGGGTGCAATTTTCTTGCCCAAAACAAACGTCGTTTCTAAATGAAAGAACATGGTTGTCCTGTGCTTCTCCTCCGTGTTTTATGCTTTCGATTTTAAGTATTCATGTTTCACTCGCTCGCTTTTACCAGTTCAAGAACATTAGGCATTGTTCAAAATTACAATCAAGTTATGAATGCATCACTCCTGAAAACAAATTGATAGAATGATTCCTTCTCACAGATAATTATATTTGGAAATTTTATAAATTCTCGAATATTTCTGCATCCATGTAACTAAATTTAATTCTCAAGGAAAACAATTTCTGTAAGCTAAAATGCACATTGAAACGAAGACATTGGAATCTTAAATACCTCCTGCTCTAAACGTGAAACATACATCTAAGTAGATTTGAGACTTTCCAGCGAGTTCACGGTTCGAGCAAGTTATATTTTGTACATACGTAATAGTTAAAACGTCGTCAGAGTTATTAAGTGCTAAATAAGACCATTGAGCTCCCTATCGTTTAATAACTTCAGATATCAAAGAAGCACATTCTCAATTACAAGCTAAACAAGAACTGTGAATAAAAAGAAATATTTGTGTATTAATACATAATTTATGTGAATATATTCTATCTTGTATAAACATGGCAAAAACGCCAAAGGCGTCATCAAATGACGACGTTAATACCTTGAAGATTTATGTAAGCTTTTGTTTATTCATTGCACATGTACCTACATTTTAGCTGAAGTTAATCTGACATCCGAAATTACAGTATACATATGTATACAATATAGTATGTATCTTTTAACCTGTGCCAAACTCTGCACATCTTTGTTAATGCAAAACTCAAATGTATCACAAAGTACGCCGGGAGACCTAGACTGACGAGTGTAAACTCTTAGATAAGTAAGATATTCAGGACGTTCACGCATGCGTGTACGTTATAGGAAAATAAAGTTCGTGCATTGGCTTTGTGAGGTCAGAATATTTTTAAATATTCAAATGTGTTCAGAGCATGATTATAATAATAATACGCCAAAAATAATATATTTTTCGTCGTTTGGTAATGGTTAAATCTTTGCTGTCGCCCATTTCCTCTTTATCATCAAATCTACTAGCGTGCGCTAATCAATATTTTTTTTCCGATAGGCAATCGCAATGCTACATGTTAAACATGTCGTTAGCGGTGAACGCTTCAAAGAAAACTCCATATACATTTTTTAACTGCACGGAGCCATGCAAAGAAATTACCCAAGGAAGTGGGAATAATGCACTATTTGTGGTAAGACAGCAATTCGTGTATTCTAGATTATCAATTTGCACCCTTTGTTTATTATAGGCCTTGACACTTGAAATAGTTGTATTAATATTTGTTTATATACCTCGAGAACACGTCTTCGGATATTACACAAGGAAGTGCTGTAATACATTATTAAAAGCAAAACAAAAACGTTAAGGAAGCGCGTATAGGTAAAGATGTAAGACAATTACAAAAGTATAGTTGTCATTACAATTTAGATCGCATTACAATAATTATAATAGACACTGAGCATTTAAAAAAAATCGGTTGTTAGTTTCTGAGAAAAAAAAAACGTTAATTGGCAAAAGATTTGATTTCTTTGCCGGTGCGTTTGCGAAAAGCGGTGGTGTTGGATTTGTGAGAAAAGAAACACGAATAAACTTGATTTTGCACACATTGTTAGCTCGGGTGGAGTCTCGGTTGGGGGTGTTGAGAATGACCATATTCATCCTGGAGTTCTGATAATGCATCTTAAAAAGATCGAGTATTCAGCATAGTTTACATCTTAAAGAAAGCATTTGGAGTCCTGCCGTATCTCAAAAAGACGTTACGCTGGCATTAAAAAAATATTCTGAAAAAATGTCGAAAAAAAGTCGCCTTAATACTTTGTATTGGATGCTTTCTACCTCATAGTGAGATATCTTTGAAACGGTTAAAAGGGGGTGCTCATCTGATGAAATAAGACCGCTGGCCTTTTCTGTATTCTACATTGCTTGTCAGTCATGTGGCGCCTGCTCGCAAGCAAAAACATGACGGGAGAGAAAGACAATGCGGAGAGTTAGTCGTCTGCTTCTTTCGCTGGGGTTGCGGTGACGTCAGAACGACGCAGGGTTCTGATTTGCTCTGATTGAAGGATAGTGCATGGGTAGACCTCAAAGTAAATAGCCTCGAGGTATACCCACTATCCTTCAAGCGGAGCCATTCAGATGTCTGCGTCGCTGACGTCACAACAACCAATGCAAAAGAAGCAGACGAACTTGCGGTACGATACCACCTGTTCCCCGCATTAGAGATTATACTCCGTCTCATTTCCAACGCAACCGGAGCTGCTCAATGGGAGACTTGAGGTAGATGTCTCAAGAGATTATTTGTCCATTCGTGCCACCCGGTGAAGTAATTAACCCCACCGTAGGGGTACTTACTCGGAAGATTTTTTCTTCTTGCACGGTGCGCTTTACCTTCCCGTTTGAGCAAGGATGGTAAGAGCTTGACAGCACGTTAGTAGTACCGATCTTTCTCAGGAAGTATCTGGATAGGTGAATGTTAAACGGTGTATATCTATCGCTGAACAGGGTTTCGGTCAGGCCATGTACTGCAAAGATGTCTGAGCAGATGTACATTCCTAAGCCACCTTCTTGTTAGTCAAAATGTAACTTAAGTAGCGGTTGCTTTCCTGCAGTAAAGGACATCTTGTCGTGTTACAGCATTGAAGTCTGTCCAACAAGCGTTTATAATTATCCTTGAGCTTACTTTTGCATTGTCGCTATATCAAAATATTCTTCATAACCACAAACACCCAGCTAGATCTTGCAATATTTGGTACATTGCACGCTGAAACAGTTTAGGCGCTATAGAATTAACAAATATCATTCTCAGAAACATGTACCTCCCCTACAAAATACTGATCTAAAAATTTTTTATCTCACATTTTCTATAGTTTTATGCCGCTAACCCCCGACGAAGCGCAATGTGTCGATAAATATTTCACCCCTACTCAGGTTTTGCTCGACATGTACTAGGGTTCGAATTCGGTAGTATTCCCTCATACAGCTTTGTTAAGGTCTGGCCACTCTAAATATATTATTTTTACTACGACCATGCAGCTTGATCATTCTGTAGATTTCACTGCGTTAACGGTGTGTTAGTTCGCCTTTATTTGATCGAGCTTTGGTCTCACCTTTTCCTGCAACATGATAGCAACAAGTATGGACACCTTCACGATATTTTGGGCACCTGTCTGGACCTTCAGGTGGTAGGTGACGTCTTTCACCTCCCCTAAACCTGACACTCAGCAGCTTCATACAGCTGTTTGTCTAATGTTTCCACCTCCACAACGGTCCCAGACGTTTCGAAACATCATCGCTGAGCGTGGTTCGGACGACATCCTCCACCACAAAATTTATGTATCGATTGCATATTGGTTACCAGGAACGCGAAGGCAGATTCTCGCGGAAACGTTCTTTTAAAATCCCAAAACAGCTCGACGTTTTACATTTGACAATCCTTCCCAATAATCTTTTGAAGTTGGTTCGCTGCGACGACTGAGTAAGTCGCTCAAGTGCATAACTTGCACTTCTTTATCGTACCTTTTTTGTCGACTCTGACTATCCATCCACTTGCTTTAGCAGTTGTGCTCACTGATAGCGATACTTCTTAACATTATCCGGCTATTCGCTTAGTTGGTGCAGCTTCGGGCCCGTCGTGCTCCTTGGTTGATTTTTAATCCTACACGCTCTGTCAAAGCGGGTGAACTTGCTGCAGCCATGTAGCCTTTGTCTAGGGCTGCGTATATTCAACGGAAATGCTGGCACGTACATATTGGCCGCAGTACTTCCTCTGTATTTACCAATGCGCTAGATGTCCACCCCTTCGAAGCTTCTTAGATTTCTTGCATTGCCCTTCACATTGCTTGCGGAATTTGCAGTTTTGTACTGTTTTTCTGTGCGTTGAGGTTTCCGTGATATATATGATCTTAAGTTTCAAGCGTCAATTTCCAAGTGTTACTCGGCTTTAAAGAATGGTACCTTCCGTCTCTCCGAATTCTCGATACTTTACAAGGTCTCATAGTACCATGGTCGTGCACTAAATTCCTTTCATTTTTTTTTGGTTCTGTGTTCCAAACCGTAATTTTGATGCCCGTGGTTCGAAGCTGGTCTGAAATCCTCCACGACTTTGTTCTTATGAGCTTGACGCCGTGCATCTCTACGTCGACCGTAAACGTGTTATATGTTTTCTCGCCTGTTCTTTTAACGTCATAATCAAAGTTGCTGCTTAAACATATTTCAGCTGCGTTGTGGGGTGGGTCACCGCCGATAATTGTTGGAACTAACTTTCACAGATCTTCCAGGCTGTTCCTGGTGTGTCCAAGGGTATAGGAGGTAGCAGCAGCGGTTATATGCGGAAAGCAAGTCGTCTGTTTTCTGAGCAGGAGTTGCGGTGACGTCAAAAAAACACCAAGCTCTGATTGGCTTATTGAAAGATAGTGGATAGACCTCGAAGCAAGCTGCTTTGAGGTATATCTACTATCCTTCAAGCAAAGCCAATCAGAGCTCGGGTTTTTGACGTCTCCACAGCCCTTGCAAAAGAAGCAGACAAACTTGTGCTCCGCATAGATCTGTGCGGCGTGACAGCACGGGACGTAGCCATGGGAAGTATCCGTTTTTGCACTGGGCGGCGTACAGGGCTGGGATATCTTTATCTCTGTATTCAGATACATTTAAAAAGTGTATTTGTATCTCTGTAGACAAATACATTTAAGAGATATTGCTTGTATCGCTATACGTTTTCAGACTTAGGTATCTCGTTACATTTGTTGCCCTTTTTAGGTAAACTTTTAAAGATAAAAACATCTGTTTGGTGCGAGTTGCTTCGTAATTTATAATATGAACCCGCCCTATAACAGGATTCGTTTCAGGCAATGACATTGAAAAAACGCTGTGGTTTAAAAAAAGGCTACGGGAAAAAACAAAATCAGCTCCTCTCACAAAGCCCTCCACTCTTTCCAATTTAGCAGACAGAACGTTCTAAAGGAGTTGAGTGAAGAAAAAGTACGGTCCTGTTCTCCATTCTCCCCATACTATAAGTGACAGAAAAGCTTATAATACGACAGTTTGAGATGTGCCCTCGCGGCCAAACAGAGTTCGTTTTGTGCAGACACCTTTTGTCAAACCTGGTACGCAGTCTTTACCGTTCTCTAACTGCGGTTCAACAAGGGGGACATGTTTTTTTAGCTGCATTAATGATAAATCAATAGTTCGACGTAAGGGTAACAGCAGAAAATAGCAGAAAAAAAGCAGGAGAAGCATAAAGTTTCATTCGTCTTCGCCACAAACTAAACCCTCACCACCCTGCACTTTTCGGGAACAAATGTATTTCTATATGTATCTGTATCTGTATTCCGGAATACCGGTTTTGCAGAAGTATCTGAGAGATATTCCATTGCATAAAAGATAAATGCATCTTACTATACGCATTTTGGCCCTTAAAACTTATGTATTTCAGCCTTTGTATTCCCGAGTACTTCTTGAAGTATCTGTCCCCAGCCCTGGCGGCGTATAACTGACGCTAACGGAGAAGGTCCGAGCCTGCTCGGCCTACGCTTGCCATTCCCACTTCAGACACTATGTAAACGGCTCCGTGCAAACTAATGAACACACGTACATGGCGCTGCGAGTACATGACTCAAGCTACAACATCCTTCGTCACTGAAAATATAACCTAAAGTTACCAATTTACGTGACTTATTTTTAAATATCTCAAAATACTGAGTCGAACCAGCGCAATCAGTGTTCGCACGACGACATTGATTGAAAGATGCATGTTACCCAGTTTTTATTTTGTTTTTATTTATCAAGCCAGCAGCAAGGAATGAACGTTCAAATACCATGGATATATGTAAAACAAGTTGTTGCCCGGATTATGTGAAACAGCTTAATAATACCTCAGAAGGAGCGCCGGATGGAATGCCGTGTGGACCGCATCAGGTGGGCTGTTTTCTCTTCTCACCTTTAGTTGAACTGATGCCGATTAGACTTACGAAATAGAACCGTACCCTGAATATAAGCTCCAAGGGTAGGTGAACAAGACAAATGTGTTGCAGCGCGGTGCCCACAGAAGTCAAATTTAATTATTAATATTATCATGCCAGTTCAAATTTTAGACAACCTTACAGTATATGCAGACACTGATACAAGATCATCATCGTTGACAAACGCTGAATGATATTAAACTGCCAGTGTCAGCACGAGCGTCACTGCGGCACTGTTCATGCGCATCTCGGCAGTTGGGCTATCAAAATAACAATTCAGATCTGGAAGCGATTGCGAAGCAGTGCTGAAAGATAAAAAAAAAGAGATTAAACTCTTTAAAAAATTGTCGTCCGCTTGCGGAAAGCTGAGATATGATATGCATGAAGAAAAATCAGCACGCGCTTCGCGAGCACACGCGCACGCCATCTATGTGAAGGAGAAAATAATAGAAAGTTTAACAACCTTTCTAGCATTCACGATGCCCGTCTAACGGGCTCCTCTACCCGTGAAACTGCTTTAGCAGCATCTTGTCTCGAAGACCCTACCAGTGCACGTCTGAACTTAAATATTCGATGTTTAAATTTCAATTAATTCGCTAAGACATAAGAGAGGGAAAGCGTTGTGGCAAAGTGTGTAATACTTTGCCATCAATGCCAATGTCACGCGCGGAAGCTTCAAATCCAAATGTCTAAAGTTTTTTTTTCTTCTTATATACGCAGTTAGGCAGTTTAGAGTTATGAAGATGACGTCTAAAGAAAATCTTAGGCTGGTTCCAAGATTATAAAAATGGGGTTTCAGTGGCTCCAAAAAATACCCTTCGTCAACGATTCCATAAAAATTGAACATGAGGTGACGCGAAAAATATGAAGAAAGAAAATTCAGGATAAAAAAATACCGAATAGATAAAAAAAAGATTCATCAAGAAATAATTTTGTTGCGCGTATGTCCAGACAGCCCCAAATGGTCGCCTGCTGTTTCCGTTGTAAGTGGTAAACTTAACCGGTTCAGTAGCCAATGCTAGCCTGGAATCTTCAACAGGCTTTACGTAGCGGCAGCAGTCATACTGCACATCTCTCTGGTATGACATCCATCCAGACCGAAAGGGGAAGGGATAAGTATTGAACCCAGGATCCCTGGGCTGTGCAGCGCGATCTGTAGCTTCATTTGCTCTGAGCTCCAGTTCGTAAATACCCTCAAACACCACTCCCCTCGGAAAAGGAAACGAGAACCTCTTGGCTGTCACAAGAAACTTCGCGGGAGAGCATCACATTATACAATAGCGGTAAACGCACCTCAGAGCGGCTCAGAAATATAAATTGGCCAACATAGCACTTGCAGATCGGATAAAGGGAATCGAATGGAGAGCTCTTAAAAGAAAGGGATGTGCATAATTGAGACAGGCAATGAGTGTTAAGGGGTCTTCACATGGTTTTGGGGAGAGATCTGCGTGACGTCAGCGATCGCCGGAACCAGCGGCAGCCATGCTAGCCTGGACGCAAGTATTCATAAGAACGGCAAAGAGCCTAGAGAAATGTTAGTGCTATCAGACGCGACTGCCCTCTCGACAAGAACACTCGGTGCGCGCTGACAAGAGTAGAAAATATAGGCGTACGTAGAATGGCGATACACGGTGATGGCAGCATCGCTGCTAGGTGCAAAAAACAACAAACTGTTTCCTGCTAAAAAAAGACGCTTTTTGAATGAGTGTATGCAGCACAAAGAACGTGGAATCGAAAACCAGTTGTATGAGGAGCGGCTTGAGGACGGCGTTGATAAATATCAAAGACTTCTTCGCCTGCCTCGGACGACATACGCAACAACGCAAGGCACAATAAGTTAGGCGATCTCGATGCCACCGCCGGTATCGCGCAGAGCAAACTCTGTAAATTTGCCAGACACGTGAACAAAATACCGCCAATTGCGAAGAAATTCCACATTAAGGCATATTTAAAAAGAGTCAGCAAACGCTCCCCATTTTTTGGGGATTTCTACGTCAGGGCGGCTCCTCGCAAAGGCGTAACGCTGTTACCACGTGATGCGAATTCCGAAGACGGCAAGGAGGAATTTGACCCCCGTGTGAATACCTGCCCCTTTAGAAACACTTACTTTGTTATGATAATATATCTCACTCAAATCATCTGAATCAGACAACCCATCCATACTGCGGGATCCACCCCTAGCGGTGTGGACGCCTTAGGTTCGAAAGTGTACACCCGCCGGCAATATGAAGGTGAACACATTGCCTGGTTTCTTCCCTGTTTTACGGCTCCCTAAAGCTATATTAACTCTCAACGATTCAAATGGTACGTGGCTTGAGGTTCTAAACTTTGCGTTCTCGCCCTCTTCTGGAACAGAGCTTGTTCCAAAACTTGCAGGAGCGCCAAAAACAAGAAGGCTGTTCACCTTCATATCGCTCACGGATGTGCACGCGTCGGACCCTCTGTAATATCCCGTCGCACTCCTGACCGCCACAAAGAAGTCGGCGCGACATTGGGCCAAAGATCAAGATTGACTGCACTATATATATATATATATATATATATATATATATATATATATATATATATATATATATATATATATATGTTTTTATTTCTTCAACGTGTGGTGCCGTGTTTTCTCTTCAACTGAAGTTTGCGGGAATATTTATAGATAGTTAAAGACTTCATGTATGGTTAGGTTTTTAAGTAATCACCATGTATGGTTACGTGCTAGGTAAAACTGTTTTTATACATATTATTTAGCAAAATTACCCCGTTTTGTGTGGGTCTTGGTAGTCTGTGCAAAAATGAATTATTTTGGTGAATCCTGTACTAAGATTTGAAACTTTAAGCACCTAGACGTTATTCTACTTTGAAGAGTGTTATGTATTCACATAATTGCAAATTTGATTGGATGTAATATTTTTGACAGTTGCATTTATACAGACAATGTGTATGGAGACAAACCTTCCTTAATTTATTTTATAAACAAGTTACTTGGTACTATTATACGTTCCTAAAACAATTTACTACACCTTTTTTATTATATTTTATTTGAAGGTTTTCCTGCAGCACCCGAGGAGGTTATAGCACGAAATGGTTATCGATATAAGAACAAAAAGAAAACGTCTCCGTTATCATAGCCCACTTATCTTGAGATTACCGATTCCACTACACAATTATTTAAAAAAAATGAATCGGCATGAATTTGGTCATGGCACGTTACTCATTCAGTTTACGAGCGTGCTTGTTTCGTCTAGAAATTTATCACGCTTATTTTATGTGGGTTTCGCAGTTAATGCCAGCTTTGTTTTTTATTATCTAAAATGAAAACTTCAATTGTACTATTTGTTCCATTAAGCGTAAAGTAATTCCCAATTATATAATTTTTTAAGCTAGTACACCTATTTTTCCAACCGTACCTTCCAAGAAAAGATCGAACATCCCTATTTTTAATTTTTGTCTAGTTGTCAGTCAAAGCAATTTGAGCGGGGTCCCGGGGGACACACCCGTATTCTAACATTGGTATAAATCATTTTGAATAAGCTATTTCTTTTAAGAAGGGATGTGAATAATTTAAATGTTGTTGAAACGAGTTAGCTTTCTTTCGGCTTCTAAAACAACAACGTCTATATGACCATTCCATGAAAGTCGGATTGTCTGCAGCACGCACATCGGCCTTTAAAAACGACCAATAATCCAGTACTGCACAACGTTAGATTGCACTTTACACCTTTTTTTTTTTTAATTCAAAGTCGAGGACAACCAAACTTCGGCGCATCCTGTCATTCGAAATATGTAAAACTGTTATTATTCGGTAGTAGTGAGGACTTTACGTAAAACCTGTCCTTACTATTTTTTCTGGAGTGAAACGTGTATCCCAAGTACGCAGTCCTCATATTCCGAGGTCTTCCTCTGAATTGGAAAGATGTGCAAAAGAAGGCTGCTAATCCAGTTCCAATATAAGTGTGCTTTTTGGAGGTATACTAGAAGAATTTTTTTTTTAATTATTAGTCGAGCTTTAGAAGCTATTGTCACACATTAGGCTGCTTAAATGTCACTCACGGAATGTGTGATTGGTTCCATCCGAATGCTCTTGGGTCTCGTTAGAACCCCATAAATTGGTCAAGGGAATACGTCCTCTGGCGCAAAATGTCGCCTGATTAATAATTTTAAATACAGCATTAATATAAAACAACCTCACGCATCCTTGCTATTTTATATGAAATTTATTATTTGTGATTTCTTTCACACGCTGAGGCTGTGAAAGTGCTATTACGCACTACAAGGTGTAATCATGTTTTATTTGAGGTGTCTAGATCACATTTGTATGTCTTGGCACTCGACTAATTGTAAGATTTCTCAATTGGCTTGTTAGATGTGGATGTTTTATAACCTAATTCCGTCAATATAGTTTAAGGGTGTTGCGTTTCTGAAAATACTAAGCCACTCGTTTTCTGCCTTCTCAACAGGTGTGTCTTCAGCAAGTCTGCGTCAAAGCGCCATGGCAACATAGCGAAGTTAGCACAGTTGCAACGTCGTGAAACGTGGTGCCAAATAAAACAATCACTCTGCGACATTAGACGCGCAACGTGCATCTTTTTTTATATGGATTCAACTCTTCGCACACGGGACATTATTGTAGGCTGTTCACTTTCTAGCCAGGACTGGCCAAGCCCGAACCTATTGCGCGCGCGTGTGTGTGTGTTTGGACACTCTTGTATTTGCATGCTTGCGTGCGTGTTCGTTTGTGTGTGCGTGCGAGTGTGTGCATGTGTTCTTGCGTGTATGTGAGTGGGAGCATGTTCGTGCGTGCGGGCGTGTATGCTTGTTTGTGTGAGTGTGTGCGCGCGTGTGTGTGTGTGTTTGCGTCTGCGTGAGCGCACGTGTTTGTGTGTGTGCATCAAGCGAAGCATGATAAATGAAGATTAATCTTTATTGTCATTAAATCCAGTTTTTTTTTATTTAATTACGTTGCTTTGTTATTTTATTGCTTCCGCAAGTGTTTTTCTTCCATACTGAATGACCAGGGAAAATCTATTTGCGTCTATCTCTGTTGGGTGTCCCTCCACTTTCGGGACTGTCTTTGGGAACTGAATTCGCTGGCACGCTGTAACCTGGACAATGTCGTGGAGCATTGCCCCAGATTTCTTGTCCTTTCTGGCCTCCTAATGTGCAGTATATATGCACAGTAGACAATTTCAGCACAGATTCTCACACTCCTTCGCATTCGCACCATCTTCGAAGACCTAACGACATTAACTTCGTCATCGACGTCGTCATTGAGGTTTTCCTTGAAGTCGCCCTAGACGCCGTCTATGACGTCGCCATAGAGGTTTTTCTAAAAGTCGTCCAAGAAATCGTCGTTTAGATCGCAGTAGAGGTACGCTATTCTTATCGTTCTCAGCGCGTATACGTCTTCATACTAGTCTGCGTCTGTAACGGTTATTTCGGTTGCAATCAAGTATTATTTGGTGCCAAGCCTAACTTGACAGAGCACTCGATAATATGTTCCTCGAAGTGCGATCTTCTGGAACTGAAAAAGTGAACAACAGAACCACCGCTGATTTTCCGGTCATCACAATACAGCGAGTTTAGTCGTCGAAAGTCACCATATTGAGAAGAAACAGAAGGCAAAGAAAAGTTAAACTGATTGTCTCTGCTAGTTTTGGACCCTATTTTATGCCTAAAAAAAACGACATAGTGAATTTTGGCATAAAATATGTTTAATAAATGTCAGTAATACACGTCACTGCAATGTGACTTACAAACACATAATTTCTTCGCTAATACGTCACCGCGAACGCAGGAGAAAAGAGGACCCCGGTGGAAGGGTATTCCGAAAGACGTTTTGAAGCTCTAGATAAAAATTACTCCGCGTTCTAAATTTATTCTTGATTATTTGGTAGCATCTCTGAGAGGTTGAGTCAATCAGAAATAATGATTTTATGGTTGTTAATAGCTTTTTTAATAAAGGACAGCAGAGCGCTTAATATTAATTTGCAAATCAGTAGGCCGTTTCATGAAAAACAAAGGCTTTTCAACTGTTAGTGCGCATCACGTCTTCCTAGAAGTATAAACTCCCCAGGTTTCGAGATCACTACATCATAAATTGGAGGCAAACATTGTTTTCACAATTAATGCCAAAGAAGATGGTTCAAGACCCTGGTGGCACACTTCTACGAGGTAAGTGTCAAAACACTTGCCAAGACGTGACAAATGTCTTAACATCGAATGCCATTGAATAAAAAATAATTAAGGTAGGCAGAACTCTTCGAAAACAAGAAACTTACAAACAAAAGTTCCAGATGTTTCTTATTTGAAACCAAAACTTAATTTTTAGACGACATGTACATTTTTGTTTGCTTAAATCTTAGATAACTTAATACACGTTATGTATCGCACTGTATTTAAAATGAAGCTATTTCTTCCGGCAAGTGGTGTACAATTATGTTCACGTGGGGCGTTCACTCGTAATACCACCACGCGAACGTTGTGAAGAATCCTTGCAGCCTTTTTTTTTTGTTGTTTGATAGCCCCTAAAAGACTTAAAAAAGTATTCACAAACAAAGAATTGTGCGATAATGTGCTGACGCCAAATGCTGTGCAGTAAAAAGGAATTGATAGTGTTTATTGACCCTCTGTTCATCGAACTCCGTGACCCTCGATCTTTGATACGTTGTTGCGTGGAACCATCTGTATAAAAATGCAACAATAAAACAAGCTTGCCTGTCGTGACATTTAATATGAACGCATCTTTTCGGAACCGGCAACTGGAAGGTGAACAATCTTATATTTACGCAACACGTGGGCACCTTTCTTTTTGACCTGCGCTTTCATGCAGTAAGGAAGCAATTCGTGGGAGAAGTTGCAAGACTTGAAGTAACTTCGGTAACAGTAAAGACAATTCATGCTCATGAAATGTTACTTTACGTAACTTTGACTGTTAAAAAAAAAAGAAATTTGATGCATCTACTGTTCCTAATAGCCGGGCGATGCTGAGAAGAGCCACTGCACTTACTACCGGAAGCTATTTAACTGTGGCGCGTCTCAAATGCCATGTTTCCAATGTAGTGTGCATTTTGTGCTAAAAAGTAATTAAACTGCATCACGACTCTTGACTGAACTTGTGGGTTCATAACGAAAACCAATTAGATAGCTCGAACGAGACAAGCACAGAAATTGGCACACATGAGTCAAGAACTGAGACTGTCGTACGCGTGCATTTTTTCGTCCTTGTCTTGTTCGTGCTATTCGATGAGTCTTTAGTCATAGAACTGTTCTAAATTTCAGAATATTACTTTGATGGATATTTTTTTAGGATCCAGGACAAAGAGTATTGTACCATATTCGACTTTCGTACCTTGAAAATTCACGAAAGCACTTTAAAGCAATGATTTATTAAGGTAAACATTTTTACTATTTTGAAGAAAAAAAGAACAAATCAGATTTATGTGAGTAAAACAGGATTTATGTAATTTATTTCAACTTTATTCCATTTAAATGACTATAGCTAGATAGTTGCTCTTTAACACAAGGAGGGACAGCTCGGCGAGACAGTAAACGTTCAGGTCGTTCATGAGAGAAGGCTTCGGCCTTCGTTTCACCTTTGAGACCCCCGAGGAGTACAAAATTCAATTTTGGATCTCCTAGTGGACGCAAAAGAAGAACATATATGCTGGTGCACCACCCTAGAACCACCAAAAGCTTACTTGAATATAGATCGGCGCATTCAATATACGTTAAGAACGGTATCGCTTCTTAATGCTCGCGGTCAGCGCTAACAAAACCCTGCACCCACAAAATGAATCTCGGCCTGTGAAAAACTAATTCGTAACACAAAGGTTGATCCCAACAAAGAAAAAAAAAGGAAAACAGAAAAATAAGCGTAGCAGTCATATTACGTGTTCACCGCCTTTTTCGTTGGATATAGGGAGTCACCTCGAGATACCGGATCGATGTAATAATCTCAGCCCGGAACAAACTTACCGGGGTTGTAAACGCGGGAAAGAAACGCGCACGCACAAGCAGGCAAACAGACAACAACGAATGCCGGATTAAGCACGGCATTTAGTTCGTTCCTTGCATAGATAGAAATGACATTCTCCTGTTGTCACTCACACATCAGTCAAACGGAGAGGCGCTTAAACATTCGATTTCGCGAACATAACAGTTCGTTAAAAAGGGAAACAATCTTCCATTTAGCAATACATCACCAGCACTGCGGCTGTGTACCACGGTTTAGTGACCCAAATACCTTGTACAAAAACACCAAACTCATTTATCTAGGGTTATTATTGAGCTCTACCACATAGTAAAAAAAAAAAAAAAAAACATGCGTGAGCCAATTATCGGTGAACCTCAGGGACGGTGCGATGACTTTTTGGACCTTAAAAAACTTCTCCTTGCAAGAAAACAACAACGGAGCGACGCCACAGTAAAAGAAAAAGAAGACCCCATAATCACGTCTTTTTAAAATAAGAAAGTTGGAAGTCATGCGCCTTGTCCTGTATGTATTTCTCTCCTCTGTGTCCTTCTGTTTCGCGGCGTTTTTCATCATGACGTTTTAACAATTTACTTCATCTCAGTAGTTCCCCGCAGCAGGGCCAAAGCTACTGAGCGCACAGAGGCGACACCCTTGCGCGGCGGAATGTAGTACTCGTACTAAGGGCTCTTTGCCTTTCTGTATCACCATGAGTGCAGTACTTGCATGTACAGTAATGCTGTAATATTTTTCTGTGCCTGAAAACAACGATAATTTAAGCAGTTCGGCTTTGATATTTCCGTGTATCTTTTTATTTAAGCGCAAGAACAATAAGAAATAGTCCTTTATGTTTCGTTTTATTGCTTCGCAAAGAGACGCTAAAGTGATACACCATAATTGATTATCTACAATATACTGTTTGGGAATCGCAGTAAACGAGTCCGTCGATAACTTAATCAACATGAGTAAGCCCCGTCACAACACAGCGGAAGGCTGCGGCGGGGTTGCGCTTTGCCCAAAACACTTTTTGGAAAATGGCGCCTTGCGCTGAATCGCCTGACAGGCACCCAATCAAATTTGCTATATTATTCAAAACGATCGAAGCAGTTGACGTTGAACGTGCTGGGAGTGGTTCAAAGAGAATGCGGCAAGGGAGCAACCATGAGTTCCACAGTTCCATAGCGTTTAGCAAGAGCATTTTAACTTACCTTTTGTTATCTTTTTGGTATTGGTTCAGATTGGAAGGTTGAAAGAGGCTACTCACATTGGTAGAAAAGAAGATAAATGTGACGTTTAATACTTATACGTTTGGGGTGGCCGCACATGCTGAGGTTTTGCTCACCGTCGCCACACAGGCATTCGAGTTTCACACGTGCGTGTGAACACACAGTGTTCCGGCCACACGAGGTATCGTCGTCGTTTTATTAGGGGGTCGCTTACTTGTTGGAAAAAGTAGCGCGGCGTTTTGAGCACACAGCCTCGTGGCGTCGTCGAACGTTCGGCCGCCAGGAGCAGAAGACAAGCAGACGACGCGCGGCAGAATACGTTAGGGGGGTTGGC